AATCGAATCGTGGTGTATTCTTGAGTATCGAAAATAATCGAATCATTGGGTCAGGAAATCGATACTGAATCGAATCGCCATGATGGATGTGATTTACACCCCTAATCAGTTGTGGAGGAGCTCTGCTGAACCTTCCAAGCAGACGGCTTTATTTGGCCTTCAATAGGAGCTGCAGCGTTGCTGCTTCCTAAGTCATTATCTGTAGGGATGCAAAGCACTGATGTAAAAGCTTGGGTCAACATCCCATAATAAAGTTGCCATCATGGCTGTAAACTAACTTATCTGCTTTAGAATAACTCCCACAATCCTTTGCAACCACAACCACATGACCAAACCCTGCATGACCAATCGGCTCCTCTCCCCAGAAACTGGATGGAATTTAACCTTGTTCTTATCGGCGCAGTTTTACTTATCAGACCGATAATTATTTTTTTTATGAGCGCCGTTGGCAGATAACGATGTCGATGTGGATATATCGAGCATCCCTGATCGTGTTTATCCAGATTAAGAGTGCCTATTTGAATACAGACCGAATGAATGTTTTCGTCTGCAGTCTCCCTCCCTCAGCTAAAGGAGCTGGACTGGAGAGTCGACTTGGTGACTGGTTCTGACTCAGTGAGTCGGATGGCGGTGCCAACCTGCTTGGTTCAGCTGAAGGTGAGAACCTGAAAGGTTACCTGCAGACGTTGCCTTTCCTCACGCTGAGCCTGAGCTCCTGAGTCCACCTTTTTTCTTTTCAGATGGAGGATCCGTGTCCGACAGCAGGTGGGGATTCTGTCTCCACGGTTACAGTGGAGCTGGGCAGGGAATCGCTGGACACCATACTGGACGGACTGGGACGCATCAGAGACCAGCTGTCTGTGGTGGCTGGGAAGTAAGGCGGTTCTCTACAGCTTTGTCCTCTGGTGCCTGTTTGGACTAAAAGTTTTCAGCTGTAGGTGGTTTACACCAAAAAATGAGGATGATGTTGTTTTTCTCCACATGGGTCCAGTAGGCTGATTGTTCTGATTATTTTTATTATTATTAATGAATGAGAGCAAAAACCTTCTGCTCTTATTTATCTGTAGATTGTTGTCAGACCACGATTTCTTAAAATCACAGTTTCATTTACTGTATTTTTGTCTTTTATTCCACTCTAACATAATTTGTTTGCAAAAGTAATTTGTTTCTGTTTGTACTGATATGAAAATAAACTAATAACACAGTCAGAGTCTCTTTTATCTGCTCCCGTTTGAATGTATTTTGATTCAGTTTAGGCTTCAGATAAACCCTACACCTCCTGATCTCAGGGTGTTCACATTGAAGTTGGATCACATTTATATTATGTTCAGGCTATTTATTTATTGACTTTATGGCACAAAACAGATTTAATCTATAAAGATTTGGTAATTTTGCAATCATCCAGCATTCATACCTTCTTATTCTTGTAAGGTTGGGGAAGAAGTTGGGGTCTGGTTTCTTTGCTTCTGTCTTTTGGCAATTGACATCAAGCAGACTATTACAGGGTCACTGATATAATCAGGGCAAACAAGTTATGATTCTTGGGATTACTGGGACTCTTAAGCCAGTTCAGTGAACATTGTCTCCTTTTAAAGGGGAATTTCTCAGTTTCATCAGATGTTTTTTTTTATTATACAGCAGGACATTTTTAAAAAGATATTTAAAAAGTTAAAATTTTTATTTTTTATCTATTCATTATATAGGATGAAGGAGCATAGTGAAATTATTTCTTGTGTGGATTGGTACAGATATTAGATTTATTTAAAAATAAATGTAGTAAAAAGAACCTGGAGCTCCCCCTGCTGGACAGAAAAGGTACAGTCCGCTGCGCGCGCTCCCGCCGCAGCACCCTTTGAGCGGGAAACGGTGGAGTTGAAGCTGGTTAATCACCTTGCTAAGAGTAGGTTAATTTATTTAAACAAGCGAGCGTAAGAAAAACGTCTTAATTTACCTTGTAATTAGAGCGCCGTCTAACTCTTTACTCGTAGGCATTTTGTATGCCTATTTGGAGCTTTTATTAGCCTAGGTTAACATTAGTTTCCGTGAAACAATTCGGAATTTTTCCACTCTCCGAAATTTTCAAAATGGCGACAGCAAGAAGGCAGCTGAAGAAAAAGCGAATGGACGACAAAACGGAGAAAAATGCTTATGATTTTACCCCAGAAGATGAAAAAAAGGAGTTGAGCGGGTCAGACGATGATGTGAGGGAAGGTAAGCTAGCTGACTCGAACTGAAGATGGTGTCTGATTCAGACCTTGTGTAAAACCAGAAGGACTTCTTTTTAATATATCTGAAATGGTGCAAGCTAATTAAAGGTAACGAAAGAGATGTCATTTTTTTTTCGATGGATTTACATTATACTTTGGGATTTTAATCATTTATCAATATTTCGGGCAAAGTAAGAACCCTTATTATGCTGTATCTGATATATACAATTAAAAACTTAATTAAAAGTGTTAGAAATACATAAATTAAATACTATATATATATATATATATATATATATTTGTTCATTTTCAGATTGAACATCATAACCTGAACAGTCAAAACTGAATTGCTTTTAAATACCAAATAACCAAACTGATATTCCTTAATGGGTGATATCCACTATTAACTGACATTTTTTTAAATACATTTTTCTTCTATTCGTGACACCATGGAAAAATATTAGGGCCAGACTAAGAGAAAAATAATAATGACAATAAAGTCAAAGTATTTCAACTTAATTATCCTAATATTACAATAATAAAGTCAATGTGTTTTGAGAATAAAGTTATGATAGAATAAAGACATCTGATTATTAGTTCTTTCACAAAATAAATCTTCAAACATTATCTGATCAGCACAAACTACCAAACGGCAATCTGAGCACAGTTTGTATACATAATAATAATTTGATGCTGATGGACTAAAAGGTATAACAAAGGTATAAGTATAACAAGAGACAGAAAGCTGTGTATAGCTTTGTAAAATTCGCAACAGTCTTAATTTAATTTCTGTTCCAAATAAACTTCCCACAATTCTGTCCTGTATTACGGTTTAAGTCATTTTCTGCAAGAAATGCCTGGTAATACAACAACGAAACCTCAAAATGATGGATTTAAACAGAGATTGTTAACGGTCCAGATTGTTATCGGCCCAGTTTAAGTTATGGGACTGATGCTCATGGTTTACTCTTAGAATAACCCAGAAACCGCTTTATCTGATTGGAAAGTAGGACTGAAACAATTTGCTAGTGAAGATTCTCAGTCACCCAGGTCATAGTCATTCCAAAAAAATTATAAAACAATCCACTGGACTTTGTTTCCAAGTTTCAAGACGTTTCGCTTCCCATCCAGGAAGCTTTTTTAATTTAAAATGACAGAAATAGCGTTAAATTCGAGGCTACTGTTTGGGCTACTGTATAAAGCCTCGGATTCAACACTATTTCTGTCATTTTGAATTGTAAATACTTCCTGGATGGGAGACGAAAGGTCTTCAAACTTGGAAACAAAGTCCAGTG